CCCTTGGGGTAGATACAGGATTTGAGGTTGAGTGCTCTTTCATTTAAACTATGGAAAATATGAGGTCAGTTTGATTTCATATTTTTTCTAAAATTATATATATATACGTAAATTAAAAAGTCCTTCCGAAGCGGGCGACGGGATTTCGATTCCGGCGACCGACAGCTTCTTACGGGCGACCCCCAAACAAACATTGCGAAAACTCTCCTCTTTCCCCTTTTAAGCGCCGACAATTAATTATGTTAATTACCACTAATCTTCTAGAATGCCAAAAATATCTTATAAATTGAAGTGATTAAGAAATATTGAATTAACGAATTTATTCAACAAATAATGATTCACCATCAACATCAACATCAGCCGCCTTTTATTTGTCAGTGATCTGCTTCATAAATTTTTCTTAATTCATTTGGTTGATTAATCCACATATCATATTAGTATAATTTTTACACGTATGTATGATTTGTCCACATTAATGCCTTTTATGCAACAAAATGTACAACAGTAACAACGGAAAAAGAAATCAGAAACCAAACAATTTAAATAACAGTGAAAATAAAAAGTAAGTTTTCTCTCCAACAGTATCAAATTCATCCAAAAACAAATAAGCTTAACAAATTTTAAGAATTTTTTACAACAATTATGAAATACGCTTAACAAATTTTTTAAAAAATTCTTGCATAATATACTCAAGTTATTTAAAAAGTTTATTACAGTAATTTTTTTTTTTCCATTAAAGATTGTAGCAACAATAATATATGTGAAAAAGCACACGAGAGAAGAGCAAGTCGTAGATAGCAACAACAATAAATTTACAATTTTTCAACTGTAGGCATGGTTAGAAAATTTTGCCTCAGACAAAAAGAATAGAATTCTAACCATTAAAATTGAGAAAAGGACACTCTCCCAAAAATAAAGTTAACATAGTTTAACATTTGAATGGATTTAATAAAACACAATTTGATTATTTTATTATCAAAAAAACATATCATCGAGTTTGTAACGATTGCAGGTCATTCCAAATAAGGTCATTCCAAATAAAAATTTAAGTACTCAACATCAATTATTAGTTTTGAATTTTAAGATTAAGGGTTGGAATATAAAAAATACAATGAAATATTGTATAGGATTAGATGGGAACTTAAAAGATACAAATAAAATCATTTTTATAAGGAAACTTTAAAATCTTAAGATTTGGAATGTTCATGAAAAAGTTAATGCTATGTGGGATAAATTAAATAGCATTATTAAACAATTAACAAAAGATGTACTTGAAGATTAAAAGAAAAATTTTTTATAAATAAAAATAGTTGGTGGTGGAATAAAAACATACAAGAAAAAACTAAAATAGATGAAGTTTTCTTATAAAATTTTTTAAAATGTAAAAGCTTAGATAATTGAGAAAAAATATAAAGTGGCCCGTGGAAAGTCTAAAAGTACTATTTATGATGCTAAGAATTCAGTTTTTAGTAATTTTTATAATATATTAAAAATAAAGATGATAAAAGTCATATGTACAAACTAGTCAAATAAAGAAATAAGAAAAGTAAGGATTTACTCAAGTGTATTAAAGTTGAAAATCAAAAAGTGTTTTATTAGATGAGACTGTTTAATATAGGTGGGTGATATATTTTAATAAACTTTTAAATGAAGATTTTGAAAAAAATGACCAACTTTAGTGATCTTAATATTGTTAATAATATTTTTTGTTTTATTTTCATCGTCCCATTAATAAAAAAGAAGTTGAGAAAGCTTTAAGAAAAATGAAAGACGAAAGATCAGTAGGCCCTGATAGTATCTCAATTGAAGTGTGGAAAAATTTATGAGATTTGGTAAATTTGTCTTACTAAAATTTTTAATATTATTTTAAAAATTAAAAGATGCCTGAGGAGCGGAGGGATGGTCCTTATTTTTAAGAAAATGGGATACACAAGAGCGTACAAATTATAGAAGAATTAAGTTAATATGTCATACATTAAAATTATGGGAGAAAAGAATTGAACATAGATAAAGAAGTGATACAAAAAATTTTCAAAGTCAATTTGGATTAATGTCAGGCAAGTCTAATGTGGTAGTTATACATTTATTGAGATGTTTGATGGAGAAGTACAAAGAGAGTAAGAAAGATCCACATATGATTTTTGTTGATTTAGAAAAATCATGTGATAGGTTAGATGAGAAGTTCTTCAAAGAGTTCTAAAAAAGAAATGTGTTGATAAGACTTATATTTAAGCTATTAAAGATATGTATACTAGAGTTGTGAATTGTGTTCGAACAGGAGGATTAACCACGTATTTTCCTATTTCAATTGGATTAAATCAAAAATCGACTTTATGCTCATATCTTTTCTCTTTAGTTATGGATGCTCTTACCGGACATTTACAGGAGGATGTACTTTGGTGTATGCTTTTTTGCTGATGATATCCTTCTTGTGAATAGTGATTTCTTCACTCTCTGGGCTCGTTCAGGATTGGATGACCGAATGCAACGACATTATCATCGCTTTTCTCTTAAGTTATGGATGCTCTTACTGGACATTTACAGAAGGATGTACTTTGGTGTATGTTTTTTTGTTGATGATATCCTTCTTGTGAATAGTGATTTCTTCACTCTCTGGGCTCGTTCAGGATTGGATGACTGAATGCAACGACATTATCATCGAGAGTGATAATGCCAATGTCATTGACTATTACCAAAAATCTATGAATAAGTGGCACTGGCAGAACTCAACTCCAAAAGATCCAAACATTGGTTTTTTTATTCAAGCAAGTTATTTTTCAACATACTTCAGGAACAACAACAAATCAGCTCATACCTGCGCCAAGATGGTTATTGATAGAGATTTTGTTTTGACCCATGTTAATGATCAAGATCCTCTTTTGTTTTTTTTTTTGCAAGAGGATAAGGCACATTTTTTTAATGTCTCTGGGACACAGTGTTGCACATTTTTGTAACCCTTTTGCTTTACATTAATGTAATATGCAACATTCAAAGATAAGATTGGAAAAAGAGTTCAACAAAAAATTTAATTATGGAGGTAAACTTTAGAGTCTAAAGGCCTTCGTTTGAGTAGATCTAAAACTAAATGCATGAATGCAATTTTAATAGTAATAGATCTAGTGACGGAGTTATAACAATGAGTGATCAACTCATTAAAAGGAGCGAACATTTTAGACATCATGGGTCTATAGTTCAAAGTGGCAATATAGATGGGGATGTTATTAGTAGAATTCAACCATCATGGGTCTATAGTTCAAAGTGGCAATATAGATGGGGATGTTATTAGTAGAGTTCAAGTTGGATTGTTGAAGTGGAAAATGCATCAGACTTGTTGCGTGATAGAAAAGTATCGCTGAGACTTGAAGGAAATTTTTATAAAATGATTGCGAGACCTACAATGCTTTATGGTGCAGAACGTTGGCCTATAAAAGAGAAGCATAAAAAGATTAGGTGGATGAGTGATTTTACACTTAGAGACAAAATGTGAAACAAATATATCTGTTAAAATGTTGGTGTAGCTCCAATGACATACAAGATTAGAGAGAGTCATCTTAGAATGTTTGGTCACATTAAACGCCGACCATCCGACAATCCAGTTAGAAAAGTAAATGTTTTAGATTTGACTTATTTTAAGAAAGGTAGAGGTAGACCAAAAAAGATTTGGGCATGTTGTATAAAAATGATCTTAATTTATTAGAACTAAATGAAAATATGACACTAAATAGAACAAAAAAACAGTTTGCTGTTGTTCTTGTTATAATTTCACATTTAAAAATTTATGGAGAGAAGATGATGCATGTAGGAAAACATAATTAAACATTCGATGGAAACAATAAAAGTTGAACAATCACAAGATATAGTCAAGGCAAACTGCAAATCAAATTACCGTAAAGGTTGCAAGTGCACGTACACGCCCCTATCTACGATGTATTTTACTCACAACCCCATGCAAAAATGTTGCTTCAATTTTCCTTTTACTTCTATACAATCTTATTTTTAGAACAATTTTGACTTTTTTCAGAAAAAAAATTAAATCATCAAAACAATGCAACCTCTAGGCTCTCCTTCAAACAATGTGGCCAGCTAACAATCTTTTTTAGGTCAATTTTGAAATTTTTTTTCAAAAGAAATCCTCAAAACGGGAAGTTTTTATCCACATCTGATCCATTCATCATTGATTAGATGAAGAATATTCCAATATAACTCAAATAAGGATCTAAATGCCGCCCTTATATCTACACATATACCACAATTCAGTTCATTCAAGACACTCTAAGCTTCTGGATCATGGGAGAATTCTATAGCCCTAATCATTGATTGCAATTCTTGATGCCAAAATCTTCTCTTGTAGGATGCATCCTGTTACACCTCTAAGAAAATCAGCCCGGTCATCTTCAGCTGCATCTATTAACTCTACTCCTCCTTGTCTACATCTTCAAATTATATCATCTCTTCAGCCAAAAGTGGGATCATCCTGGCTTTCCCTAGTTGCCTCCAAAACCGTCTTATGATGGATAATTATCTTCATCGACACATTTTGACTCTACTTGTACGAGAAGAATCATCCTTTCCTCACTCACAAGATGATTTAACAAAAAAATTTCAAAATACTACCTCCTTTCCTATTCATTCCATTCTACTGACTAATAGCACCGTGTGTGTGCGTGCGTGTGGGCGCGAGCGCGCGCGAGCGCGCGCGTGTGCGTGAGAGAGAGAGAGTCAATCTTTGAACGCAAACTAGGAAGCCTCCAAAAGACTCAAAGAACTCATGGAATGCACATTGTCACTACTACAATTTCCAAAAAATAAAAAAAACTCAAATAACGTCGTTACAGATCGCCATCACACAAGAAAAAAACAGCAGCAAAACATTGATACGACTCGAAACCCTTCTAAGTTAAACGGAAGCCCAAATGCAGTAATTTCAACTGAACGGCATAGGAAGGATACGGATGATTGCATAGCAAACGGAAGACAGATACATAGAACTCAATGATTACCAATTTGTTGCGGAGACGAAGCTGAAGTGCGACACCAGATTAGGGTTTCAGAATGCCTCCAGAGCTTTGGCCGAAACTGCAGTCAAAGAGGAATTCGAGCAGCTCGCTGCACCGGCTAACTGAGCTTTATTTTGTACACTCACTTGGCAGCAACGCAATTTCCCGAAAGGAAGGCATTTTTGTCTTTTTTTACTGAAAAATGTTTTAATTTACTAAATTCGATAAATCTGAATTTATTAAATGTTTCAATTTACTATTATTTTGAAAATCAATTGAGGCTTTTATTTTTTTATTTATTCTTAATTATTTTATTCTTAATTATTTTAGATACATCAATGAATTTTATATTCCATAAAATTATCATTTAAAGATGTTAGCAAATTAAATGGCTTATACTATATAATAGATGTTGATGAATTAAAATGCCTTTAATTTTTAAGATTTGTGATTAAATATAGATATTTAAACAAAATATTTTAAATTGGGATAACATTGATAATATTTGATCTAAATTTGAATCTTATTGGATGATAGATCCGACTAATGCCATGCCAATAATAAGGAGTGAATAGAGGTGGGAGGAAAATGATGAATTTTTAAATGAATATAATTGAATGATTAAATCACTTTCACTATAAATTATACTATTTAGATTACCTTAGAACCCATTCAGCCTTCTCTAGCCAATTATAATCAGCTCTTTAGAATATTTTTAAGTCACAAGATTCATGACTGATTCTCTCTCACCTTATTTTCATATACATAATTAAATAATAGTTTAAAATTAAGCTTGAACACATTTTTTAAATATAATTGATATGTCACTAAATTTTGTTTATCAGGAACAAAGATTGATGCATCTTGAGAGTGAATGCTTTCAAAATCAAATTAAAGATCATATACGCTCTAATTTTATCAACAAATTAAATGACATAAAAAATAATTCATCTGTATTGTGTGATGGAAGGTTTTAGACAATAGAGTGATAACTTAACATCCCAGTGTTATATGAAAATCAAACACACACACACAAATAATAGAAAAGTAGTGGGAGAAGCCTCCAATATTTTTTTACGCGAAAAAACCCTTCAAAGCGAAAAAATCACAGGGTCTTAACCCACTCAAAGTAATTCATTTTATGCATGATTGTAAGTACATGAGTCTACAGTCATCATAAATTAGAGAAGATAAAATAATGTTAATAATTACAATTGTATTATAGTCATCAATTGTTAGAATTGGGCTGCAACAAATATAGTTCTTGGTGATAATAGTGATAGTGCGTCGCAAAGGTTATAATTGATTTTTACAAACGTAGAAGTTAGTCATAAATATTATAGTTGGTGGTTGTAATAACATCAGTTGACCATAGAGGTCGTAGTTAGAGACTGTAGTACATCAATTGGCTACTTAGGCCAAAGTTAAAAGCTATAATAGTAGTTGGTCACATAGGTCGTAGTTGGTAGTTGAGCATCAATTGACTATAAATGGTGGGAATTTGTAGTATTAATTGGCCACATAGGTTACAGTTGGTAACTGCAAGAGAGTCAGTTGGTCATAGAGATCATAAGACAAGGTTGTGATGACAACAATTAGCCACATATGTTGTACTGGATAGTTATAGTAGTAATTGGTCATATATGCAACAGTGGGTCATTGTAAAAGCGTTAGTTGGTCACAGAGGCTATAGTGGAAGACTATGATAACAATTAGCCAGACAGATCTTAGTGGAAAGCTATAGTAGTAACTAGCTACATAGACAATAATGGGTTGTTATAAGTGTGTCGGTTGGCCGCATAAGATGTAGTAAGAAGTTATAATGACAACAGTTAGCCATGTAGTTCGTAGTAGATAACTACAACAGTAATCAGTCACATGGGTCATAATGGATTGCTACAAGAGCGTCAATTGGTCACAAAGATCATAGTTGGTGTTACACAAATTGATGATTGCAATATTTCACTCGGGTTTACTATTTTACACTAGCAGCATCAATTATCAATATATGAAATAAGAAGAAAACTTTAGTTGTTGGAAGTTATTCACGGGTCTCCAATACACCATGTTTGTGATACTCCTTTACACTGTATTTGAGATACTTGGTTGCACTATATTTCAGGATACTTTATTATCTCATATTTTTGGATACTTCATTACATAGTATTCATAATACTTTGTTACCCCTATTTTGGACACTCTGTTTCATAGTAATTAGGATTCTCCATTGCCCTGTATTTGTGATACTTTTTTTGCACAGTATTCAAGATAGTTTGTTACCTCATATTTAGGATACTTCGTTGCATGATATTCATGATATTTTGTTACCCCATACTCGACATACTTCATTAAACCATATTCAGGATATCTCATTACACAACAGTGTTCACCGAATGTAGCGAGTAGGGGGCGGCCGTCAGTGGTTGATGGCGATCGACAAGTGGTGGTCAAAGGCGGTTAGTAGTTACAAAGGCCGAAATTTATCGTTTGGTCTTCATCCATAATAACACTGGATTTCAACTGCTCCCCCTTTCTCAAATGAAGAGATTGTGTCTATTTATAGCATTTGGTGGAGGGATGTTTTGGTCATTCAGTGAATAACTCTCATAACCATCTTACAGAACGATACATATTTATCACTCCTAATCATAAGAGTATTTTTTATGATTTGAGGGTCTTAATGACCTTAAAGTTTTGGGAGCTAAGGCTCATTGAAGTTCTATAATTGAGATGCTTGACTTGACTATAAATATGTCAAATTTGGAGTTTGTTTGTCCATTCAATCAATGATATAAAGCCTCCAAAAGAGCTTTAATGGCTTGATCTTGACTTAATTGGACTTGAATTAGACCAATTTTGATATCATCGAGTATTGTCGAGACGGTCAGCTTGACTCTAAATTTAATGCAATCAGAACTTTAGATGATCTTCACTTTGAATCAAAATATTTCTTACTCAAAAAATTACCTCAAGATTTATGTCAAGTGATAAAATTTGTCAATGATGCATCCATTATAAATTCTAGTAAACTCAAAGCAAGTACTTGAAACATAATATGAAAGTTTAGGTATTAGTTAGAAGCTCAAATAAAGATAAATCAAATGTCTCGATAAGATAAATCTAATTAGCTCAATATTAGTCAATCTAAACATCATTAAGGCACAAACACTCAAAAAAATTTATATGATTGAGGGAATCTCTCTCATCTATTCGATTGAGTGTTCCAAATTATGATAACATTCATGGAGGATGTCAATCCCAAATTTTAAAAATAGACATACACTCCCTTCAAGATATTGAGGAACCTAGAGTGAGCGAAAAAAAAAAACTCAAGTTAGCTCTTAGGCCATCAGAATTCTAGAGTGCCACCCATTGACCATCACTGTTAAGCCCCTTTTGTTTGACCACTGCCATCAACTTAGAATCAGAGGAGAAGATTCGACGGATCCTTAAGGCCAACTTGAGAAATAATAAGGTCCGCTTGGTCCTCATAGTTGGACCAAGTCATAACCATCTCTGCCTAGCCACTGTTGTTAGTTGTTACCATCGTTACACCACCACTACCTCTGTCGTAGTACTTCTTAATCGTCAATGAGTCGTCACTTATGTCACAACCCAATCAAATGCAAGTTGTCATATTAAGGTTGCTTGCATCATGTCAAAGTTACAATAGCTGATTAATTACTCAAAATATGTTCATAAAGAATTTTTAATATTTAATAATCACATAAATAAAATCATTTGTATATAACCAAGTAAATAATAAATAAAAATACTAGTGCATCTTCATTCATGCTACAAACCACACACACACACACACAAATATATATATATATATATATATATATATATATATTTTCAAAAGGGAATTGGTATTTGGTCTGGTGAGCCCCAAATAACACTTCCCCAATTTGGATCGAAACTCAAGTGTACTTTGATCGAAACCCAATTTGGTTAAATATAGTTGTTAGAATTAAACAAAATACTATATAACACAAAACACCTATAAAAAATTAAATATTTATTCAGTGTAACTGATACAATCTATTCTATAATATATCAAAAATTATGTGATGAAAAGTATAAATTTTTAAGAAAATATCTCAAATTTACAAAAAAATAAAAATACCAAAATTAGCAACTTTATCTAAATTTTATATAATTTTCAACTTCTCTCATAGTGTACTCACACTGTTAAGAGATTTTTAAACATCCTTTTTATTTGAAGGCAAGTTATGCATCATTAAGCCCTAACTCAAGTCATCCTACATAAACAATTGGCCTTTTCAAAATATTTCAAAATTACCTATGAATAAATACATTCTATTTTTAATTGACATTTAATACAATAATTAACTTAAATACAAGTAAGCATAAACAAAAAAAAAACTAATAATTAGAAGTAAATTTACTTGCATTATATCATCCCTTTATGTTGATGCTTCTAGAAGTTATTTATGAGGGGACTTTTTCTCTTCTAAATTAACACAATTAGGAACATAAAACATAATTCATATAAAGAACAAATGGTACTAGTGGTGGGCAGAAGGTATTAGAAGAAAGCCTAGAAGGAAAAAAAGGAGTATGTTCCCTCAACCAGGTTTCTTCAGGTAGGAAGGTAAAAATATGTGATGAGTTTTAATTGATTAAGAAAGAAGGCTTTTTTAATTCCTACATGATTTTTTATTCATTCAGTTGAACATCTTGTACCCTTGGAACTTTTGATTTGAAAGCTTGAAGCAGATTCATTTTAATAATGATTTGATACTGATATACATGATATTTTTAGGCTGCTATAGTTGACAATAGCTTAATATCTAGATCATCCATTCTCTTTATTTTTAAGAAAATGGGGACCTTCCAATGATTTCCTAAGAAAACACAAATATATGATTAAAATCAAAATGTTAAAAAGGGGGAATCATAACTAGAATGCTTAAATGAGAATGAAAGCTGATCATCTGAACCATTTTTGCATGAGCTTCATCAAGCTCTAGATTAGAATTATTGGAAGGTCTTTTTTTAATTGGAGTAAAGATAACATGTTATTTGATAATGCATGCAAGAAGACGTTTACCACCAAAATGTCTGACATGAAAGCTTTATGGTTGATTAAGTTGCCTTTCTAGTTGATACATTCTTGCAAGAGTCACATCTATTTCTCTCCAAGTACAATGAGTTATTGTAAGAACCATATTTTGGGAAAAAATAAAACCTGAACTAAAATGTGTTTATATATAGTTAGATAAATTATGTTCTTCCATAAATTTCTTGGACTTTTCATCAAATATCCTTCTTTCAATGTGTGTCAATTAAATGTTATCAATCATAAAATCCTAAAAAATAGTATTTATATCAATCAATAACAAAAGGAATGCATCAAACATTCAAATAAAAAAATTGAAGGGTGCGAGAGGGTCAGCTGAATGATTAATAAATCATGTAAAAATTTAGATTTTATGAGTTTAAAAAAGATTTTAAAGTTTAAATGGAAAGAACATTTTGAATGGCTCATGACACATTGCATAATCTATAGAGAGCATAAGGAAATTACTTCTTGTGAACATTCACATTCAGCCCTAGTAGTCATAGCAGGAAGGAATTTTTCACATCAGAGATTATATTTACAGGTGAAATTAAGGCAACCACTTCATTCAGACTAAAATTCAATAGCATTAGTTACATTTAAGAGAATAAAAGGTGAAGTTAAAGCCCGTTTATCTTTGTTCATTTTCCAAAATTGAAGGACATATTCAATCACTTCATCTAATGTCATATTTTTTGTCCTCTATGAAAATATAGAGCCTAAGTATAATGTATTTTCCATTAGGATTGTACCATTGAGTTCCAACAAGGTTTTTTTCATAATTTGGTAGGCAGCATCACCCCATTGTTCTCTGAGAACAGTTTCTCATCATCTTCTCTTAATATTTCTCGCATCAAAATAAAATTGCAAATGCTAGTTATAATATATCACAAAAAAAAGGTTGCTTTTGTTTCATATAACTCGATAAATAAAAGGAACATGGATAAAAATCACATTTAATTGAGTTTTCCAAAAAAAAAAAAAAACTCAATGTTCACAAACAACCCATGTCCATGAAGCTCTAATAGTGAAACAAGATATGACAAAATGACATGATAGTACTAGGTAAAGAAAGATATATTGTGAATAATATATTTTCTTTTATAAATTATTAATATGAAAAGTATAACTAAAATACTAAGTATCAATATTTTGTATTTAAAAGTATCACTCAATACAATACAAGATCAAATATATCACCTAATAGAAAAAATAATAAACCAAAGAGAAACAAAATCTATTTTAATAACATTTAATTTTCAAAATTTATTAAAAGCTTTAATTGTCACCTATAAGTGAACTAGCATTTAACTATCGGACAATGACTTTATCAATACCCTTTTTTTTCTCTTAAAAAAAGGCACTCATGTTAGCATTCAACAATGGGATTATAACAAACTGGATTTTTAACTCACTCAAGAACATTCTTTTTTAATAAACAATAAAAGGCAATTGAAATTATCATATTATACAACAACAACAAAACCCTTATCCCACTAAGTGGGGTCGGCTACATGAATCATTTTTCTCCACTGCGACCTATTTAGTGTCGTATTTTCATTTAATTCTAATAAATTAAGATCATTCTTATACAATATGCCCAAGTCTTCCTAGGTCTACCTCTACCTTTCTTAACATAAGTCGAATCTAAAACATCCACTTTTCTAATTAAATCATCAGATGGTCGAGGTTTAATGTGACCAAACCATCTAAGACGACTCTCTCTAATTTTGTTCATCATAGGAGCAACACCAACCCTATCACAGATATATTCATTTTGCATTTTGTCTCTAAGTGTAAAGCCACTCATCCACCTAATCATTCCCATCTCGACAACACTTAACTTAGTTTTATGTTTCTCTTTTAAAGACCAACATTCAGCGCAATAGAGCATTGCAGGTCTCACCACCATTTTATAAAAAAAAATTTCAGTCTAAACGTTACTTTTCTATCACACAATAGGCCCGAAGCATTCCTTCAATTCAACCAACCAACTTGAATTCTACTAATAACATCCCCATCAATATCACCATCACTTTGAACAATAGACCCGAGATATCTATAGCATTCACACTTTTTAATAATTTGATCACCCATGGTTACATTTATGTCACTAGAGCTACTACTACTAAAATTACATTTCATGTATTCAGTTTTAGTTCTACTCGAACGAAGGCCTTTAGACTCCAAGGTAGACCTCCATAATTCAAGTTTTTTCTGAGATTTTTCTCTCGTCTTATCCATGAGAAGGATATCATCAGCAAAAAGCATACACCAATAAGTGCCCAGTAAGACCATCAATAACAAAAGCAAAAAGATATGGGCTTAAAGCTGATCCCTGATGTAAACCAACAAAACAAGGAAAATATTGGTCAATCCTCCTTCTATTCGAACACAAGTACAACTCTTGTTTACATATCTTTAATGACTTGAATATAAGTCATATCAACACCTTTCTTCTCAAGAACTCTTTGAAGGATATCTCTTAGAACCTTATCGTAAGCTTTTTCTAAATCAATAAAAATCATATGTAAATCCTCCTCATTATCTCTGAACTTCTCCATCAAACCTCTCAAAAAATGGTTACTATGGCCGGAAGTTATCATCGGGTATTCATTCCAGAATAACACTTGAAGTCAACTCCTCCTCTCCTCCTAATTGAAAAGATATGGCCTATTTATAGCCCATGAGAAAGCGACTATTTGATCATTTGACAACCTAATCGGATGACCCATATTGATCTTGTTTAATCAAAGGGGTTTATTTAATGATTTGTGGGTTTTAATAACCTTAGAATTAAACGAGCTCATGCTCGTTGGATTACTACCATCAAAACACTTGATTTAACTATAAGCATATTAAATTTGGAATTCATTTAATTATTCAACTGACAATCCTAAACCTCTAAATATGCTTTAATAACTTGATATGGATCTTTCTAGACTCCCATAGAAACAATTTTGATATCATTGGATTCATCTTATCGTGATGGTCAGTTTGATTATAAAATTGCTAAAATTTGGGCCATGAATGATCTTTAATTTTAATCTGAAACATTTTTTGTTCAAAAAATGTCTCATCGTTTCGAGTGATAAATTAATTGATGATGCATCAATACTTATACACAAACTATATATATATATATACGCGAACAACAAGCCAGTTTATATATATAATATATATGAAAATGCAGCATACTCTACCCAACAAGAATCTAGAGCAACTATAGATGAGTTTGTGCACATAGATGACAGCAAAATTTTAACATAGATAAATAAATAAATAAAAATTCAACCTTAATCAGTTGCTTCTGAGCATCCTGCAACTCTGCGTTGCTATCAAAATGCTTGCAGGCGAAGCTTGAATTATAAGATACACTTCTACATATTGCTCAGTTTGCATCTCTTCCATCCTTTTTCTTATCAGCTCTTCTTCCAGCTTCATCCTTTTTTATAATTGACTTTTCTTTCTACTTCGTCCTTGCTAACCTTCTGCTGAACATAGCATCATGTAAAAACAAAAAGAAAAATCAATTTGTGTGTACAGATACGGCCACACCGCCGTGGCTCGCATGTCGGCTTATCCTAACCGTCATCCGGACGTTTAAATGCTAAAACAATGTTATAAGTGATGGACTCAACATAGGCCATCTAATGGAGCACTTGATGATTTTAGTTAAAACAATCAAATTGTCATTCTAGAAAATTGTCAATTTAAGAACCCTCGTTCTCCATTAGACCTTGTGTGTGTTGCAGGATGAGAGCAGTACCAAAAACTCCAGTAGCATAAAAGTATGTGCACAACTTTTATCACACGTTACCCTAAATCCATCACTTTTTCTTTATGTTACGTGAACATTAATCTAATGAATTCATCATATTGATACTTCAAATCATTCAAATCTAATTTTCATTATCTTATCTTTGATAAATCTTATTCATATGCGAAAGAACAAAAATTAAAATAATAATAATATTCATAAGACGAGGAATCAGAATCAGTTACATTGCTATTTACAAATTTAGCACTCTCATTCATCCATTTTTCAAATTCTCACTCAAATATAAAAAATCATGATAAAACCCAAACCCATGCTTTTTATTTTTCTCAAATTCTCAATGATTTGATTGTGGCACGCGTAAATACATCGTTAAGATTATTCAAAAATATTACCTGGGTGCTAGATTTTGTAAACATCAATGTTTCGGGTGCTAAGTATGTAGTTATCCCAAAGAATATAAGCTAAAAAGAACAATGCATTTGGTTAATCTCAGCAGATAAGAAAAAAACTCAAGGCCCAAGCAATAAACTGCAAGCTACCATGAGCAGCAGATAAAAAGCAGATAAATTGCTTCTTCCAGTATAACAAAACTTACGTCAGCATAAAGAGAAAAAAAAAGAAAAGAAAAGCAGCTCATTGTAAGAGAATTAGACGTACAATTAAGGCCGTTTACGCTTGTTTATTTTCCACTGCTGAAGCACATATTCAATGACTTCACCTAATGAAGCTTTCCTGTCCTCTTTGAAATTCCAGAGCTCAGGTATAATATATCTTCCACTAGGATTGTACTCATTGAGCTCCAACAGAGCTTTCTTCACAGCTTGGTACGCGACGTCACCCCATTGCTCCTTCAGGGAAACCAGCTTCTCATCATCTTCCCTCAATACTTCCTGCACAAAAACGGCTGGTTATGATAAATGGAACATAGATGTAAGAGTGCCAAAAAAGCTAAAAGTTGACTAGTAACTCATGCCAATGAAGCACAAACAGCTAAATAAGACAGGAGAAAACAACATGACATGTTAACATAAAGAAAATATGCATTGTACAATATGCTTTTTTTATAAATTATTAATATAAATTTAGTATCAAGAATTTTTTTATTCAAAACATCACACAATAAAATATATTATCAAATATATCACCTTAAACCAAAAGAATCAACCTATGAAAAACAAAAATTACTTTAATTACAATTAACAAACGCACAAATTGTCGGCAAAACTTACAACAAAAATATTTTTCATTCGGAGTGTTTATTGTACATTGCCATGCAAAGCCCTTGCTAGTGCGACTGCTACCAGTCACATAATCCATTCCTTTCATTACAAATTAATAACTAACACCACACATCAAAATTTTAAAAAATAGAAGATCAAAATTAATGCGAAGTTGCAGAATTTATTGTAGCTATAATAAAATTATTGTAGTTACAATAAACTCATTGTAGATACAGTGATATCTGCATATTAATTCTTTACAAAGCATTAAAATGTGTGCTTATAAATTAAAACCTGACCCGCCCAGCAATTACACAGTAATTTAGCTTCCAAAAGATGACCAAAAACTTGACCCGAATTTTTATTTAGCAGCTAGTGTGCAAAATCGAAATGTTATAAAATTTAGAGAATAATTTACACACTATGGGTACTAAGCAAGTATACGTATCGTTTCAATTAATATAGAGTTTTCTTTTAAAACTCAGAGTATCGATCCCACAGAAAAGCGAAGTAAGAAAGCCCTTGGAAGAAATCCTAGTCTACTATTATCAAGTCTTAGGTTTGAAGGTCAATTAAGATGGTGTTTTATTTAGCAACTACTCATAAATGCAAATATTAAATGTAAAGATAACAATTATTCATAAATGCAAATATTAATTCTAAAGATAACTTATCCGGACTAATTGGTTCGGAGAATTTTGAGATGTTAAAGACTACCCTTCTCGTGCGTCGACCTAGATAATGTATAAGAATGAAATGCTTAAAATATAATGTTGTAGTGACAAATAGAAGCATACATATTATTTACTTCTTTCGATTATGTAAAGAACATTAGCTAATCTAAAGTTGGTGTCGGCATGTATAGTAGTGTTGGGTAGGTTCTAGTCTCTCACTTTTAGATTACCCACCGTGCCCTCTCTATAAGACCTACCAGCGACCCTTAGTTAAAATCTCTAGACCAAATTGATAAAAGAATCTAGTCTGTCACCCTAGAAACATTAATTCTACGTCCATCAAATCTTATCTCTCTATTTATTTGCACCCCTCTTCGGACGATCGCGACTGCTCTTTCCAAGGTAGAATGTGATACTTACAAGTGAAGAAATCTTAGCCCTTTCGTGTCCCTCAACAAATTTTAACAATACAAGTGACCAATTTGTAAAGTAAATAAATGACCGGTAAAAATATCATCACATTTATGAAATAAAAGAATTTCTAGGCAAATCTAAATTCCTGATCATGTATCCAATTCATTGCAAAAGAAAAATAAAATGAAGATAATGACATATAAAATAAAAGAATTGATAGAATTATGTAATAAACTAAGTGTCAACAAGAAACATGTCTACCTACCCTCTTTCGAGCATATAGACATGCTTAGTATTCTATTAGTTTTATGCAATTATCTGTCACCTAAAAGTTTCTAATAGAACAGATCGTAAATTATATTTCCTTCAAAGTTTCATTGTCGGCAATACTATTTCGCAATAGCCAGCTGAACAATATGAGTGCACTCTAGTTGCGAGATCACCCCTCTCACGAGTCTTAGTTTCTCTTACAATATATTTTAACATAATCTATTGCCACTTAAATTATGTCAATGAAGCGAAGGAAATATTACTCATCACATGAAAATAAAAATAATTCTTTCATGAAACAAAATTTCCTACACATGCCACTACTTCATATTAAAAGAAAAGAGTAAAGAAAACTACTTACGAAGCATGAATAAAACACCACAGAAAACTTCATTTAAATCAAAGAAAATCCAAGTGTTTAAAAATCCACTAAAAAGTGTTTACAATAATTACAAGATAATGAAGAACACAATACTTAGCATTTTTCCTCTGAAAGAAAGACGAAAAATCTCTCCAATAAAGCCTTCTGTCGATCCATGCGCCGCTCATACTTCCTTACTCATATCTCTCAAAATCCCTCACCAATCTCTCCAGAAAATGGAGAAATCTACATCTCCATAAACTCACGCCAAAATTCTCCAAAAACACTTCCTAATTTCTTCTCTATACTCCTCTAATTACTTGTCATGAGAGGCGTCAAACCTCTCTATTTAAAGAGAAGCAAAAACACCTCATTTCTCTAAGAGACACATTTTTTCATCCAAAAGATACACCCTTTCACTCCAAGAGACACATCTCTTCATTCAAAAGCCACTCCAAGTGTCTAGATTCATTTAACCACTCCAAGGGGCGTGCATAGCCATCTAGAACCTTGCAGAACATCCCGAAACCACCAAAAGTCCAAAACCGTCTCCAGCCATTTCTGGCCCCTAGGCGTCATTTTCTCGTCGTCACTGGCGCCTAGGCGCCACCCTGCAAGCAGCTACACCGTTTTGCCACGTTTTGCTCCGTTTCAACCCCGTTTCAGCTTCGTTGTGCTCCAAATTAATATACTTACAAGATAAACATAAAAATAACATTTCTTTAAAGTTTAATTTCATTCAAAAATATATGATAAATGTAAAACAGATTAAGCATAAAAATACATTAAAATGTGTCAGATTAGAATTTTCTTCCTTGCCCGATTTGACTTCAAATAACATCGTTTTTGTTTCATTTTCTAACTTTAAAAACATACAAAATACAATCCTTTAAAATATAATAGCATTAAAAATGTACATAAAATGATCATGAAATGTACACTAAAAACATGTAATTTTTAGGTAGATCAATACACCCAAACTTAAATGTTATTTGTCCCCAAGTAACACTATAACTTTAAAAACTAAAATTGTTAATCTGTGGCAGTGAGTTTACTTTTTAGATAACTAAAAAATTATTTTAGAAATGTTATAGTCCAACTTAGAAGAATTTCTAATAAAGCAGATGATATCTAAGGTACCAGAACATTTAGTATTAAATTTATGAAAATTGATTTTCTATTTAATTCAGATATAATTGAAGTTTTCCCCAAACTTTGGATTTTTAAAAATATATTAATTTCAGAATTTATGACATCTACATTGAAAATTAGGGGTGTAAACGAACCGAACACGAACGAATAGAGCTTGTGTTCGTGTTCGGTTCATTTACGAGCCAGTTTGACATCCCTAATATTAATATATATAAATTAATTATATAACTTATATTATATAAATATATAATATATATATCAGTATATTACTAATATAGTATATTAATATACTATTATTATTATTTTACTATATATTATAATTTATAAAATTTAATTTTTTGAATATCATAATTTTTTTATATATAATTATTTTAAATTATTTTATATTTCGAACAATAACGATTCGAACACGAACGAACGCATCACTGTTCGTGTTTGATTCATTTAACTAACCGAACGAAAAAAATTTGTTCATGTTCGTCTTGTCTACTTATCGAACAAATCAAACACAAACTCATTGATGAACCGAACACGAACTGTTCACGAACGAGTTTTTTTGACAGCCCTATTGAAAATAATTTTGATTGATACTTTCAAAATTAAGCAAATAATTTATCTTAAATTTTCTTTCTTAGAAAGATTCAAGTGAAACAAAATTTTAATTATGTCATACTCCTCAAGCTTCTCCTCTTTTTTTTCATACTTTACTTATCTTTTCTTTTTGCTTTTGCTTTTCTTTTTCTTTTCTTTTTCTCTTCCTTTCGGTATCTTTTTAATCCGTACTTTTTTTTTTGTGAGGATTAATATATCTAGATAGACTTTTAATGATTTTGAATTTCATTATCCCTTTTCTAAAGTTAAAAACTCATTTTCTTTCCTTAACTTAAAATCTAGTATTAGATTTTGAAAAAGAATTTTTATAGAATCTAAATTCTTTAAAAAAGTATTATTCTAAAAATCCTTAATTTTTCAAAAAAAAATCTACTTTTCCTACTATAAATAGTAAAATCATTTCTCTACTATTTTATACTAAATATCATAATTTTAGTTTCATCCTTTTACTAACTTTTCTACAAAGTTATTTTATATCATTCCAAAAAATCAAAAGTTTAGTATCTTAAAGATAACACCACATACCACATGTGATATCAAATTAAATACAAGCTACAGAGGACAAATAAAATTTAACTTTGAAATTTATTTTTCTTCATTCCCCCAAACTTCAATTTTTAAATATTTTGCAATTAATTCCATAAAATGTAGCAGAAAAAAAAAGTAAAAGCTAAATCTATCAGCTGAATCTACCAGCTACTACAACATCTTATCAAATTCATATACATGCATATTTAGGATAGAATGACAATAGAATGACTACAGGAGAAATTAAATCTAGCCTAAAACATGCTTTCAATAATATTAAACTAAAAGGAAGTATTCTAATTTTAAAATTTATGTTTTTCCTCCTTCCCCCAAACTTGATTTTTAACAAGTATAGCATTCAGTACAGAAAATATAAACAGGAAGAAAAATAGCTCAGAAATTCTATATACCACAAATGTCTGTCAAAAACATCTACAAGTATTCATCAGGACAGAACAATTGGCAATAGAAAGTTAATCTAAACTAAATATGACAAAATAAAATAGAACTAAAGAAAGGTCTAAAAAACATAACATGAATCAACATAAGAATATATATTTAAGTTTCTCCAAGTTCTTTATATTGTTGTAATACAAACACAAACACATGATAAATGAGGTTAATTCTTCTTTTAACTCATTGCACCTTAATACCTTACT